CATGTTTTACTCTCAATACACAGCCAGGCAGTGAAAATGCAACTCAATGGATTAAGATTTAATTAACAAGAAACTTTGCAAATGCTTGGCATGCTGCCTCTCCATTTTACAAATTATTTATTCTTGCTGTGTTGAATTTAATTCCATAGCCTGCATTTTTTTAAAAAGTGTTAGCTTGTGCTGGCTGGGAAAATGCTTTTCAACTCCCCCCACGAGAAGTAAGATCTACTATTACCTAACTTTCTATCACACCCATAAAAGAGACTGGGAAGCAATATGCAACAATACACTCTAACTTGACAGAAAGGCTAGAGTTGGTTTGTGATTTGATAAGCCTAAGACTTAATCTAGCCCTTGTAACTTGTGAAGGAATTGTCATCATTTTCAATACCAATCATCTTCCAAATGATTGCTCCACATTGGCTGTGTTCACACAACACACATAATTTGTTTAACCATTGAATACTAAATAAACTGCAAGCGGTTGAATTTATGCAGCACATTAAACCATAAATTCTGGTTTAACAACTACATTGGGACAGTTTATGCAATGTGTTAAGCTACAATCAGGTAAAGCACCATTTGGATCAACAAATGGTACAAAGGCAATGTGTTTCCATCTATCTTACATCAAGAGATAGCATGTAGAGGTGATGCCTAGGAAAGAGGAAGAATGTAGCCCATTCTTCTTATAGGCTGCTCTAGAGTTTTTATAGGAAAATTCACCATTATAGCCCAATATATTAAGCAATCACATAAAACCTGTGTGCATTTTTTTTTACAGGAAAATGACTGCAAACTATGGGTTTGACAAAAATAAGTTGAAATCCATTGGATCTGGCAATTTTCAGTTGCAGTTTTATGGGATGGGTCACCGTTTGTTTAGAAGCAATCTAGTTCCACCTCTTATCCTCTCTGGATTTTTATCTGCCTCTATCCAACTCAGCCGATCATCTTGGGCCATGGAAAAGTCTATAAGTCCCTTGTCCCATGCTTCCAACACTTTCAGGTGTCTTTCACATGTAAGGCCCACAACTTACCTTTGAGCTGTCCAAACTAATAGGAGAAAATGATTGTGGGATATTGGCAGGATTGTCTCAGCAACATTTTAGCCACTTTAAATTTTAAGCTGATGAATGCTACTGAGTTTAATATATGACATCTCTAAGATTTCAAGGTGAGACCATATACAATTGGAGATCTTTTATAAACTCTAAATAGCCATGTCGTGAGATGTTTCTTTAAAAAAATGATCCAAGGAAGCTAAATCAATGTATTCCACTTATTCTTTCCCTGTTTCCAAGGCAAGGGAACAGGAGTATGTGCAGTGGGGTCAAAAAAAGTCATGGTGGGGGATAAAACAATGTTAATTGAAACCCTTTCCTTTACATATATTTTCAGATGGATTCCTAAGTGGTTGACCAACCCACTCTACTTTTAGTCCTTAATAGAGCTACATCTACATGGAAGGAAACATGTAGTGGAGTATTCTATGGTAATGTCTTAGGCCCCAATATTCTTCAACATCTTCATAAACTATTTACATGAGAAGAGGAACACATTAAATTTGCAGATAACACCAAGCTGGAGGAAACAGCCGGCACTTTAGAAGGATCTTGACAGACTTGAACACTGGGCCCAATCCAATAAATTGTAATTTAGTGGAGAGAAAGGTGATGGTTTTACACTTAGGTAAGAAAAATCAAATGCAGGGGTATAGAATAGGTGGTATTTTGCTCAACAGCAGTAACTGTAAGAGGGATCTGGAACTTCTAGTGGAGAACCATTTAAATATAAGGCAGCACTGTGCTGAAGCTACCTAAAGACTGCATCAACAAAGGGATAGTATCAGGATCACTACCAAGATCAAGATGAAGTATTAGTACGATTTTATACTGTTGGGGTAATACCTGGAATACTGGAATACTGAGTCCAGTTTTGGTCAACAAAGTACAGAAAAGATATTGAGGCTGTAGAGAAAGTGCAGAGAAGAGCAACAAAGATTATTAGGGGATTAGAAACATATGAGAAACAATTGCAGAAGCTGGATATGTTTAATCTGGCAGGGAAAAGGACTAGAGGTGACATAATGGTCTTCCAACATTTAAGGGTTGTCGCAAAGAACTGGGTGTGTGTGGATGTCAACCTATCCTCCAAAACATCTGAGAGCAGAACAAGAAGTAACAGATGGAAACTTATTAAGGAGAGATCCAACCTAGAACTAAGGAGAAATTTCCTGATAAGGAGAATAATTTATCAGTGGACCTGTTTGCCTCGAGAAATTGTGGGTACTCCATTACTGGAGATTTTTGAGAAGAGATTGGACAACCATTTGTCTGGAATGGTATAGAATCTCCTGCTTGAGCAGAAAGTTGTACTAAAAACTGCCAAGTTCCTTTCCAATTGTTATTCTGTTATTCATATAATGAATTGTGAGGCATATTAAAAAGAGTAGGGCTTCAATCACATAGTTGTCATTACCATTTTATTTTTTTTAATTGATAGATTCTTTGCTGTAAAGTGAAGAAATGTAGAAGGGGAAAGAAACTTAAGTTACCAGTTCTTTTGCTTAAAAAAAAAAAAAGAAATTAAGTTGTGTTTAGTTTTTATCAGTAAGAAAGTGTTCCATAGCTACCCACTGCACAGCTGAGGCTCCCACAGAATTGTGTGGACACATTACGACCAAGATTTCAGCTTATGTTTCCAAACCTTCTTATATTTTCATCTATTCCCTCTATACAACCCTATCAATTTACAATCCAACAAACAATTCCTTTTTAAAAAATTAAATTGGAATTAGGAAACTCAATCAAATTAGATTGCTTTTAAAGCTCTTCGATATTAATCCATTTTATTGTGGCAATATTATGTTTCATTCTCACTTTTGAAACTTCAAACTTTTCTTAAAAGTTTCCCTACTTATATTAATTTAATCATTCTTATGGCTTGAAGTAGGAGCCAAAAAAATAACTTCAAAGGAAATTTATCATATTGATCATACATGAGTTGCAATCTTAAATAAAACCCACCAGTAAGTCTCTTTAAATTCAAGAGCGTCAACACCTATGCCTGAGATTGATCGTTCTCACTTGCACTCTCCTTCACTCATTCTCTAACTCCTACTAAAAATATTTGTGACATTTTAAAATATATAGGAAAAAAAGTAAAGAGAATTGCAATTGACTAACTGCATATTGCCACTTTCATTATACTATTATGGCTGTGGTGGTATTAGTAGTATTATTATTGTTATTATTATAGATTTAATCTTCAGTTCGATTCATAGTCTGGGACTGATGAAAACTTAACAGTTCATCCTAACCAAGAACCTATTATTTATTGCTGTTGTTGTTATTATTTTCTCCCAATAACCTCAAAGGAATTCCCATTTCCTCCAACAACATTATATTAACTGGTTATAGAAGCAGAGCCGTCAGTTTCAAGCCAATGTTTACACAGTTATATTTGAAGTGAGAAAGTAAACAGTCCAGCTGTGCTACAGAACAGTTGGGTGGGATTAGGTTTCCATACCAACCAATTTTAGGAGCTTTTACTGTCTTAATTCAACCATGCACTGAACTTGTTCTTTGTGAGTAATAGTTTTCGTGGGCCAAACACTCCACAGGACAGAAAGAAAAATCCATCCTACAGAAGCATTATCCTTAGGGAGGTACAGTAGGAGATTCCTACCAGCCCTTTTACTTCATGGCTTTATTTAGCAACATAGAAAAAAGGGAGTCTTGGTTATTGTTTTCTTCCTCCAAGTCCTACATTATTTTTAGACCATTGGGATTTCTTTCCATGAAGGGCAATTAGGACTGATTGATATATAGTACAGAAGACTCCCAACAGTAATGGCTAGTCAGCATTCAGAATGAAAAATATATTGTCAGATTTCTGTAAATTAGCTTTTATAAAAACCAAAAGGGGTCCAGAGAAATGGCTTGAATAAAATTTCCGCTGTCCTTTGTCAGTCAGTTTTCTTTTAGACAATCTATTGGCCAAGAGCTAGGAAGCCTCTGAGACCAGAAATTCAAGGTGTGATCCTTTCTGATTGAAAATTAAAAGGTAGAATGTAAATTTCAAAATGTAAGGGAGGAGGAATAGATGCTCTTATTGGTAATCTTGATACAGATAGTATCCTAGGTTTAAATTGAATTTTGTCATCATGATCAAAAGTAGTAAAATAATATTTTACAGAGTTATGCACAAAGAAAACCCTATAGCACTGGTTCAAAAATAAATCCTACTGAATATAAACATCTCAGGTAAGGAGACCAGTTCACATCTGCAGAATATCAGTCCTTAGATTCACTACTAGAAGCATCACTCTTTAAGAGAAAAATTGTTCTATCTTTGAAAGAGATTTCCAAAACTCTTGCAGTAAGAACATTGTAACTATAATATTTATATTTATTGTATTTGAACTGCAGAATTGGTTACCTATTACTGACAGAATCGCCTATTTTAGACCCACCGGTTTAATTGAAGCTGCCAGGATTACCGAAAAATCATCTGAAATCAATTCTTCATTTGATGCAAATTGGAATTGCCCTTAGAAGCTAAAATACTGCAAATAAACGAAACAGCAGAAGTTATTACTGTGGCAGGTTTTAATACAAAATAATATTTATTTCTAGTTTTCTATGAAATGAAAACAGAAGGGAAAAACAAACTCAAAAAACCCTGTTTGAAATGGCAGGAATTTTGTTAAGCTGAAACCAGACAGCATTTTTGTTCGGATCATTCATTAAATCTGGGTCAACAATAGCCTTTGGATTGAGTCCAAAGGAAAGGACAATTACAAATATATTTACTTTTTAACCTTATTTACATATTATATTTCCCCTGGGAATAGACAGAACAAAGAGTTAATTTTTTTTTACAGTATGTTTAATCTCTATGACGTGTTTCCAAAATGAAAACTGACTAACCGTTTCATTTACCATTAATAACTTCGCCTACAAATTACATTAATAATTTAAATTCCCATTTTTAAAAACATTTTGCTATACACTGGCGGGTATACAGATAGAAGTATGGATGCGACCCGAGGGGAATATCCATGTTTACAGCTATATGCAAAATATAATAATGAGGGACAACTTTAACAGTAAAAAGACATTTTTACTCGTTTTGTTTAATCAACACACTTAGAGGTTCGCCAAGTTCCACGCATTTGACCACTTGTGTTTGCAACAAATAAAAGTGAAATGAAACCCGGATCACCTAAAAGTCAGGCGAAACCAAGACCGGGTGAGGGACAAGGTGATTTCCCATTGTTACTCACAGAAACCGACAGAAGAATTCGGCAACAGTGCTGCCCATAGACACGTTACACATCTCGGGCTATAACATTTTTGCAAAATTCTGCCTCGCCTTAAATCACTGGCAATAGGTCCCCTTCGCTCGGCTGCCGACAAGACTGCACCTTCTCCTCCTCCTCGCTTGCTCCGCGAAAAGTGCTGTAGCTCCCCTAACACCAACACCACCTCGGCTCCAACTTAAGACTATTCCGCTGCTTCCCTTTCCAGGAAACTTACTTCTAACTGGCGCGTTTCTATATCTGAGGGTAAGCGGCGTTTAAGACCCCGCTGCGATACCGGCGGGGAATCGAGCCCTCGGTTTAGGCCAGGTCGCTCCCCCGCCGCCTTCCGAGAATTCGCTGCCCCGGCTGCCTTTCCGCACCTCTCGGATGTACGTTTGGGCACAGGTTTATATCGTATATATTTCTATCTCTCTATGCATATATATGTACATAGAAAATCCAGTCCCCGGCTTTGAGGCCTACTGTTTGTCTGGGGCGCTATTCACCAAAGGCCCGTAAAGGCCGTTTGGGTACGCCTGCTCCTTGTGCACGCTGGCGGCGGCGGCAGCTGCCGCGGCCGCCGCCGCCGCGGCTGATCTGTCCCGCATGAGGTCGCTGAAGGCGTACTCCATAGGCGGCCGGAAGCCCAGCGTGGGCATTAGCCCCGCCGTGGAGTAAGGGGTCATGAAGGCCAGGCCGCGACTGTGCGCCGCTGCGGCTGAGTAAGCCAGGCGCAGCGGGCTCAAGCTCAAGTGCGTGCCTAAGGGGTAGGCGCCGGCCTCAGCCGCCGCCCCGAAATGGGTCGCGTTGGGCTGCAGAGGCGAGAAGGCGGAGCGGCTGCCCAGCGCGCCGATGGCCGGGGTCATGGCGCCGGCCAAAAGAGGGCGGTGATGCGAGGTGCCGCCAGCCGACGAAGGCTGCAGGCCAGCCAAGGTCCCCGGCGCGTCTCCAGCAGCCCGCACCCAGGTTTCGTCGCCCGCCTTGTCCGACCCGACCGAGCTGAGTCCAGAGGCGGCCGAAAGTGCTTGGCCTGAACTGCCGCCTGCTCCCCGGTGGTGGTGGTGATGGTGGTTGTTGAGGATCTGCTCAATAGCCTGCACCACGTCCCCACCGCAGCCGGCCAAGACCAGCTCCAGCACGCTGCGTTTGTGCGCGGGAAACACGCGCGTCAGGATGTCCAACGGCGTCCGCTGCTGCCGGCTGCTCCCCGCCACGGCGGCCGCGGCAGCAACGGCCAGACCAGGCGAGGGAGCGCCTGCTTCGTCCCGTTCTGCCTCAGAGCAACCCGAGTCGGAGCCCAGTGGACTGACGGAGCCTGTGCTCTCCTCCTCGGCTCCGCCGCCCCCGCTGCCCTCTTTGGCGCCTTTGGAGACTGGCGAGCTGACGGAGGACTCGCCGTCGCCGTTCTCCGAGCCGGAGCCACAGCCGTGACGGGGAGGCTCCGGGGATGAAGTGCCTGGCGCGCCGTCCGTCCCATCCGGCGATAAAGGCTTGTTCTGTTGAGGGGTCACGGAGCGGTTGGTGAGAAGCGTCTTGGGGAACAAGTCAAATTTCTGCATCTTGATTTCTGGCAACGAGAGACAGAAAGAGCGAGGTGGACGAGGCTCTCCCTGCCTGTGTTCCCCGCCTTCCCCCCCGCCCAACGCCCTCAAGTGCCGGATGGGGGCCCATTAAGTACTTTACCTTGGACAGAAATGGGAAAGCGAATGGACTTACCTGAGCTCTTTTCGGCAGTTTAGAGCAACCAAGGAATTTAATTCAGCGACCTCTCGTCTTTCTGTCCCACAGGGAACCCACCCAATGGATCTTGCACTCCTCTACCCTAGCCTGATTTCATCACTCTTCTGTCCACCCCCTTTCTTCTGTCTCTGGTGGCTTCAAGTTGCCCTCCCAATCTGCCCTCCACGCCATATCTTGCCATCTTCTCCTTCTTCCCCTCCCCAGATGGCACCTGCCGAGGGACCGTCGCCTCACCTTGGCGACCTTCCTAAGGAGCTGCTTTAGAATACGAAATCAAACCTCGCTAGGGCGTTTCCTGGCAAGGCTAAATTGCTAAGGTCGCTAGGAGGCGCTGTCTTCTCTCTCGTCTCTCGCCTCTCTGGCTTGGGACGGCCAAGGAGCCCCCACCCCACCCCACAAAAAACTGCAAAGAAAACGTTCCCCGACCTGGTCCCCTTAGATGCATGGGAACACAACTCCCATCATAACTTCTAATAGCATCGCTGAAGAAAACCTGGAAGGCAGCCAGGTTGGGGTGGTCTCAATTCGAGGCTGATGCCAAGCTGTGACAGGCCTCTATAGTTTCAAGGGGCAGTTTACTGTGAAGCAATAGTAACTTACCTGGAAGTAAAGCCTATGGCGTCAAACAATTACATGGACACTAAGTGGGCCCCAAATGGGTGTGGGAGACATTATGGATGGGGGAGGGGAGAGGAAGGGAGCAAGAAAGAGAAGAAATTGCTACGAAAAAGCAACGGTGTGAATCCTTAATGCGTTTGATATAGCAAACACGAGTGGGACTATAGTCTAGAAATGCCTGGCCGATGGTTCATTGTTAAAGGCAACGGATAGGATTCTTTTTTAAAATAACTCCGTCAGCGATCTTGCAGATCGTGAAGAAATCCTGAACTGCCGCAAATGTTGAGATTTGAGGTCCACAAATCGTGTTAAAGGGCGAGCTATTGATGGTTACGTGGAAGGGAAAGGAACTGAGCGTGGGACAGAGAGAAAAAGTCCAGGCGGACTGAGAAGAAGCAAAAGGTGGAATATGGGAAGGTGGACAGAAACATCCGGGCAGAAGGGCTCGTTTTTTAAGAGTGCGCAAGGCTGCCTAAAGAAAGATTGGGAAGCTCAGCCCGGGGCCCTTTCCTCCTCGGCGACCAGTCCCATTCTAAAGTTGGGGTAGAACTCCAGGGGCCGCCGAAGGGCTTTAAAGGCGCCCCCGGGAACCCAAGCTGGCTTTTCCAGAACTTGCACAGGACTCCCTGTCGCCTGTCATATTTAAGGGGCGACGGGGAAACGAGCGCCTTTCAGCTCGTTGCCATCGCCTCAGGGTTGGGGTGCGCGCTAGCTCCTCACCTGAAGCCCCCGAGCCTCCATCGGCGCTGCACACGGAGCCGAAGACTTCGTAGGCGGGCCGCGGCGGGATGATGCCGTTGGCCGCGGCCAGGGCCAGCCCCTCGGCCGTGCCATAGAGCAACTGCAGCTCGCGGGCCTCGTTCTCCTCCTGAGCCTGCTGCCGCCGCAGCGCCACCTGGGCGGCCATGACGCGTTGCCGCTCGGCGATCAGCGTGCACTTGGCGCACAGGCAGTCCTTCCAGCGGCAGTAGCGCTTGTGGCCCTTGAGCGCCGACACCACGCCGTGGTTGCGGCAGCGAGCGCACTTGGGGGTGCGCGGATACTTCTCGGCAGCTCGCAGAAGTAACGGTGGGCCTCGCAGAAGGCTCCCGGCTACGCTCACCGGCAGGCTAGCCGCTGCTGCCGCCGCCGCTGCCGCCGCCACTGAACTAGGGGGCACCGCAGAGGGCGCCGGGGGTACGTTGGTCATCTCAGACCTCAGTTCCATCTTGACGAAGTAGGGGTGCCGTGGCTTCCAGGGAAGACGCAGAGGCGCAGGGCCCTCTCCCCACCGATGCTCCTTTAATACCGTACCTCAAACAAGACTTCCGCGGGTTCAAGGGGACGAGGGAAACGCCAGGGCCTTCCTGGAACAACCCGCCGCTCCGCGAGAGCCTAACGGGTTCCTCAGCTTGTCTAAACAGCCTGAATCCCTCCAAGCCACTTTGAAGGCGGTAAAATTACAAAAATCGAGACCTGTTTTTCCTCCAAAAAGTCTGGTGCGCCTCAGTCCTTCCTCCCCAATCACTCCCCCGCCCCGCGCCTTACTCTACAGCGCATCTGCGTTACCTAACTTCGGGGAAGTAAACGGCATTTACTCTTCGAGGAAGCAAACAAACAACATTCCCCTCCCCCGACCTTTTTGGTTGCTCTGGCTCAATCCCCCACAGAAGGAACGTGGATCCTAGGTTAGCGGAAGTCGGGGCTTCCTTGATCCCCCCGAATCAAAGCCCCCAAGCCCCGAAACCATCGAGATGGCTCCCCAGCCATTTCATCTCTTCTCAACTACGCAGGGAAGCAGAATCGCCCCGGCTCACTCCCGGCTGATTTCTTCTCTGGCAAGAACTTACAACGAAACCCGACGGCAACCGCCCCTGCCACGATCCGAGGAAAGGAGAACAGCTGCGCTCCCTCGCCTGCCAATGTTACAAAACACTGTCCTGACAGAAGCGCGCACAAGCCCCTGGAGACGCAGCAGTCCCAGTGCCTGTCCAAGATTGCAGCTTGTCACAATCGCACGCCAGCCAAGCTAACCGTGGCAGAAGACGGAGGATTCCTCTGACCCCCGCCAGGTTTCAGACTTCAGAGTGCAACAATTTCCAACTTCCTGATTCGCGCCCACGCTCCTGTCTCAGCCTACTCTGCCTCTCTCTTCCTCCAGCTACAGCTCCGCCAACCAAAGCCGCCTTCAAGAGGCAGCCGAACCCAGTCCGGACCCCCCTTTCCTCAGCCCCAACTTTGCATGCGCGCCGCTAAAGAGAGCGAGAGTTGCCAAGAGATAGAAATCTTCGCCGAACCGCCCGCGAGCGCTTGCTCTATTGTTGCGCCTTACGTATCCATTAGACAACATTTGACAACAATGTGGCGCCTGCCATTGGCTGAGAGGGGAAAAAGCTTTTCTGATTGGCCACTCGGATGTCTACAGTGTCCACCCGAACCTTCTTTCAAACAAACTGTTTTAAGGGGAGGGGGTGCCAAGAAGGGTCCAACGGGGGAGGGGAAGATTCGGGGGAGGGGGAACCACAGCAAATAGTTTTCATTTCTCCCCCTTTTTCTTCTTCTTCTCTTTCTTTCTCTATCCCAAATTTTCTGTTACGTTGTCCGGGCATTTATAAAATCCATTGAAAACAGTAGTTCCTCTACCGATTGATTGTGCTCTTTGAACCTCACGTTTTCCTGGGGTGTCACTTGTCAAGATCAGATAGAAAAGTTGCCACTAATAGGATGGCCGTCCTGATGGTTTCGTTTAAGAGCACAGACTAATGTTCCCTTTTCTCTTATGCCTTCTACATCTTCAGGTTCAGCGGCTGCCCTCAAAGGGAATACCGGTGAGGTACTGTATTACATTTTATATTTGGGAAAGAAAAGGGGAGGCTCACTGACCGCATTACTTATTACATATTTCATTCTCTTTTTTTCCCTCTCAGATTCAATTATTAATTGTTTAACGAAAAGTCAATCAAGATTGTTTAGGACTTTCTTGTAGGACAATTAAAACAGGGAATCGATCCGTGAGCAATTATGCTCGCTACCACTGGATTCATTCGCTTTTTGAACAATATATTGTTTTTGTTGTGGACTATCATTTTGCCTGACATGCAGTGCCTGACGTCACACTCCTTGGGACTTACTTGTTTTGAAGAAATCACCCAGATCAGTGGCCAGGCCATCTGGAGCAAATAAGGCAACCCATTTCCAAGTTAATTTCGCCCGAAAAAATGGGCTGGGCAGCTTTGTCGGTTTCTCCCCGGGAGAAGACAGTTTCGAAACGTTAGTAATTAAGTGTGTTAGTGCAGGAGGTTTTTTTCCCCCTTTCTACGCCGGCGAATAAAATGCCTTTCCTGTCCCCGAGGGGGGGGGAAATGGTGAACAAAACTCGTACGTATGTTTTACATGTATTTCCCCCAAAATGGTAAGGTTGGCAAAGCAATCTCTCCTTGGCATACTTCGGAAATGTTTTACATATTAACCATCCCCGGAGTAGGAAAAGTAACAGCCTATTTTTCCAGAGAAAAGCTCCTGGCATAGGAGGTTTTCTTTTCTTTGCAAGGGTTACTTTATTCTTACACGTGTGTTCAAGAGACCAAAATCTCCTCCTCCTCCAATTTTCGTTAGAGGTCGCCGAGATTTAGTTAAATTACTGTCTTAACTCATGATTAAAAGTCCCTTCCCAGAAGGGTGGAAGCACTAGAGTTGGACACCCCTTTCCACAGCGGAGGGAAGCATAGCACGGTGGATGTGGCCAAGAACTTGCCTGGAGCCCCGGGGCAAGGGCGGGGGAGCCTTTCATTGGCGAGGTAGGTTTCTCCGCAGTTGGCCTACTGAGGAGGCATGTCTCTCTTTTTGCCTCCTTTAGAGGAATTTATTTGGCCGGAATAATGCGAGTCCAGCTCCCGCTTGGCTTCCTTTCTCAGGTTGGGGGGGGGTGTCACATTATTCCAAAATCCCCCTCCCTTGTTTTTTAATTGTCACCAAGGAGCCAGAATGAAGCTGGCCAACATAGGAGTCCCGCTCTTTGCAGAAGAGGCTGTTAGTCAGGAAAACTATACTCTGGCCAATGGTGGCAGAGAATTTTTACAAACAGAAACAGCAACCTGGGGATTAACTAATCCAATGGCAAATCTCAATAGTACTTTATCTTCATCTAGTGATCAGTTGGTTTCCTTCTCCTCCCAAAACCATTGAGAAAGTGTAAGAAGGATCTCCTATAAACACAAATCAGCAAATCTCTGAAATGGGCTGAGCATCTTGCTCGGATTCTGGTTTCCAGGTGAATCGTTCTTCTGCTTTCCACTGAAGTTTAGAGGCAGGAAGTGTGATTTGGTTTTATTTTAAACACGAAGGACTTTTGAGAAGGAAAAGCTCATAATAGTTCTGTTGAGAGAGAGAGAGAGAGAGAGAGAGAGAGAGAGAGAGAGAGAGAGA